GGTGCTGGGATAACTGGTTATCCATTTGCAGGAGATTGAAACTAGACCCATATCTCTCACCATGTACTAAAATCAACTCAAAATGGATCAAGGATTTAAATATACACCCCGCAACAATAAAACTTATTAAAGAAAACATAGGAGAAACCCTTCAGCAAATAGGGCTGGACACAGACTTCATGAATACAACCCCAAAAGCATGGGCAACCAAAGGAAAAATAAACAAATGGGATTATATCAAACTAAAAAGCTTCTGCACAGCAAAAGAAACAATTAATAGAGCTAAAAGACAACCAACAGAGTGGGAGAAAATATTTGCAAATTATACATCTGACAAAGGATTAATATCCAGAATATACAAGGAACTTAAACAACTTTACAAGAAAAAAACAAGCAACCCAATAAAAAAATGGGCAAAAGAGCTAAGTAGGCATTTCTCTAAGGAAGATATACAAATGGCTAACAGTCATATGAAAAAATGCTCAACATCACTCAGCATCCGGGAAATGCAAATCAAAACTACACTGAGATACCATCTCACCCCAGTTAGGATGGCTAAAATCCAAAAGACTCTGAACGATAAATGCTGGCAAGGTTGCGGAGAAAAAGGAACTCTCTCACACATTGTTGGTGGGACTGCAAGATGGTGCAGCCTCTATGGAAAGTGGTATGGAGGTTCCTCAAACAATAGCAGATCAACTCTTGATCATACTTTAATAGATTTTTATGTTGTATTTCTTTCCTAGAACAGATTTCACTGGGGTGTTTTTTGTGTTTTCCACAGCCGTGGCCAATGCCTTTCATGTAGTAGATGTTCAAGAACAGTGATTTGGGTGTTCAGTTTTTATATTTTGTTGTGGTCAAATGTCCTTATACACTGGACATTTAGGGTCTTACCTCTTTTCGTGAGGAGGAAGAATACCTTTTAGATTTCAACCTTGAGATCAAATTATCCGAATCAACAAGAAACAGTCCCAGTGAGTACTGAAGTGATTGAATTAATCTCTCTATTCTTTGTTTTTTAAATTCCTTTTGTGTTTATCCTTCCCCACCCCCCCAACCCTTTTGCTTGACTAACACCTCTGTGGGACTAAAATCGCCTTTATTTTCTGTGTTGGTGTTTCAATTTTCAGATGACAGTTTTATCAAAATATATTTCTCTCATTACAAAAATATTACATAGTCTTAGAAAATGTAGAAATGTAGAAAGAAAATAAATGAAGATTTAAAAATTACTCTTATTCTCATCACCTAGGAAGTAACTACTATTGAAACAAGGTAATATAAGAGGGTGTAATTTTTATCCTACTTCATTTAGAACATTAGAGAAAATTCAAATAAGTTATGTTTCCCTATAGCCCCCTATTTGTTTATGTAAAATGGCAAAGCTCTATTGATGATTTATGAAAATAAAAATATAGTGACTTTAAGTGATCATGACTGATGTTTGAAAACCTTTTATCAACAAAAGTTATAGTTTTAAATTAATATCTGGGTATGTTACTCCAATCTTGTATTTGTTAACATTTGTTTAGTTATTTCATTAAGTCTTGTAAAGAATTTTCAGACCTTTAGATATTAGATAGATGAAGCCTTTTTAAAGACTTTATATCCCAATTATATTTGTTTAAAGAATAATGTTTATTTCAATTTTGATTTTTGAGTTCTTTAGAACCAGATTCTGATGAGTTAATCAAGTTATTTTCAAGTAATAATTTGAGACACTATACTCTCTAATGTCACTTTTATTTATTATATATTAAACCAAGTAATACCATTGTTGGTTTAATCAGTACATCTAGGGCAATGGAAAACAGAATTTGTTACTGCAAGGAACTTTAGAGATTATCTAGTGTTAGTCATTTTTCTCCCATCATGTCATTTCATTCACAAGTAAAAAATAGACCTTTAAAATCTCTCAGGAAATCAACAGAAGCATGCAAAAGCAGGATGGCTTTTAACTTCACCCCCAATATCCTTTGTCTTCTACGGGGGCTCATATTTTATTTTATTCCTCTCCAAAGACAGATTCCCTTTATTCTCTTTCTTCCCAAAGTGTTATGTTAAAATGATGAGAGAAAGGCTAACATCTCACAGGCTTATTTCCTCTGCTTCTGGGGAGGGTGAGTTATAATTATTATTGTTTCAACTGTAGTATCTTTTTTAGGGAGACAAACTTAATATCGTATTTCACAGGTTATTACAGACTTTTTTTTTTTTACATCTCTGAAATTGGGAAATTGGGATATGAATTTTTTTGATTGATGCCATCTTATAATTGTTCTTGACCAGCTAATGGTCATGATATATCTGTCACCTTCTATGCCTTGTGAAATTAATTGTATCCCTGATGTCATACAGGTGCAACTCCTTGATATTTCGATCAAGGAACTATTTAAGGACCTTTTGAAGAAAGAATGTGTGTTTTGGTTGTTATCTTAAAATCTTCTTTTAGTGTCTGTGGTAAGATAAAGAAAGGATCAGCATTATAACTTGCCAAATGGGAGTCAATGGCTTCAAAGAAAATCTTGGAGACAGTAGTAGAGTGCTCTTAAGAACTGCTGCATCATGCAAGCTTTTAATGGCCAAATTGTGTAGTTGGAGACAGTAGTAGAGTGCTCTTAAGAACTGCTGCATCATGCAAGCTTTTAATGGCCAAACGGGCAGAATTGTGTAGAAAAACACAGACATTAGATAACTGAGTCAAAAAGTGATTCAGAAAGAGTTGACTTATATATGAAGTAGTAGTTAATTTTTTAGGTAACAGTTTGTGTTTAAATATGTTGAAAAGAACCCTTTCAAAAGATATAACAAAAATTCTAGATGATAAAGTATTATAATAGTTTAATTAGCATTTGTTTTTCCTTAATGGAATATGAAATAATGGTCATCTTAAAAGGTATCCTAGATTAGATAAACTATGGTAGATTAGAATATTTTTCTAGAGTGGTAGGATTGACCAGTATAAAGTTATCTTTTTATCTAAAACATATTCTCTGAACCCTAAACAATAGTATTACTTTTTACCTCTATTTTTCCCAAAGGAAGTAAAACTTAGCAGTAATCTACTTAGGAAAATTCCCACAAGCTGATAACTGCTTTGTTTTTTTCATCACCTCCAAGGTTAGATAATAGGTCCCTAAAAAATCTCTCATATGGTGATCTTTTTTTAGTACTTTATTGCTTCTATAAAAATGATGTCCTTTAGAAAAATTCAAATAATATGAAAAATACAGAGAAAGACAAAAGTTCCTGAAACTTCATCATCCTCACTGATGATGACTTTCCAGGTATTTTTAATATAGATATCAATATGTGAAAGTTGATAACGTAGTTTTTATAAAATTACACCTTAAAAAATTTTTTTTAAAAAAGATAACCGGTAAGGGGATCTTAACCCTTGACTTGGTGTTGTCAGCACCACACTCTCCCAAGTGAGCTAACCGGCTATCCCTATATAAAGATCTGAACCTATGGCCTTGGTGTTATCAGCACCATACTCTCCCAAGTGAGCCATGGGCCGAAAGAAACTAAAACAGGAGTTTTATATATTGCACCAAGCAACAAAACTTCTAAGTGGCAAAATCAGAATTTGAACCCTAGCAGTATGACCCATTAGAGCCTGTAATTTGAAACACCGCCTGTCCTTTGTACATAAAAAGCACTTAGCACAGTACATAGCGTGCATTAATTAATATTTATGTTTAGTCTGTCTTTTAAAAATAGTATGTCAAGAGAATAAGACAAGCCACAGACTGGGGGAAAATATTTGCAGAACACATATCTGATAAAGGAATGTTATCCAAAATATACAAAGAATACTTAAAACTCAGCAATTAGAAAACAAACAACCCAATTAAAAAATGGGCTAAAGATTTGAATAGACACATAACCAAAGATATACAAATGGCAAATAAGCATATGAAAAGGTACTCAATGTCATTTGTCATTAGGGAATTGCAAATTGAAAACAAGATACCACTACACACCTATTAGACATGAAAATCTACACTGATGAAAGCAAATGCTGGTGAGGATGCATAACAACTCTCGTTCATTGCTGGTGGATATGCAAGATGGTACAGCTACTTTAGGAGACAGTTTGGAAGTTTCTTACAAAACTAAACATACTCTTAACCATACAGTTCAGCAGTTGTGCTCCTTGATATTTACGTAAATGAGCTGAAAACTCATGTCTGTGCAGAAACCTGCATATGCATGTTTTTGTTTTTGACAGCTGGCCAGTAAGGGGATCTAAACCCTTGACCTTGGTCTTACAACACTGTGATCTAACCAGCCGAGCTAAATGGCCAGCCTATAACAGCTTTATTCATAATTGCCCAAACTTGGAAACCACTGACATGTTCTTTAGTCGGTAAATGGATAAGTAAACTGTGGTACATCTGAACAATAGAGTATTATTCAGCTCTAGAAAGAAATGAGCTATCAAGCCATGAAAAGACACCGAGGAACCCTTAAGTGTATATTACTAAGTGAAAGAAGCCAATCTGAAAGTTCTACATACTGTATGATTCTAACCATGTTACATTCTGGAAAAGGCAAAGCTGTGGAAGCAGTAAAAAGATCAGTGGTTGTCAGAGGGAAGAGAGGAGTGAGTAGGTAGAGCACAGAGATATTTTCAGGGCAGTGAAACCATTCTGTATGATATAATGATGGATACATGTCATTATATATTTGTCGAAACCTATAGATATACAAAACCAAGAGTGAGTTCTTATGTAAACCCTGTGGACTTGGGGTGATGGTGTGTTAATGCAGGTTCATCAGTTGTAACAAATGTACTACTCTGGTGCCAAATGTTGGTAGTGGGGGAGGTTATGCATATGTGGGGACAGGGGATATAAGGAGCTCTGTACTTTTTGCCTAATTTTGCTGTGCACCTAAAACTGCTTTAAGAAATAAAATGTATTTAAAAATAAAAAATTAAATTGAAAAAGTGTGCATTTTAAGTACGACTCTTCTGATACTTTCATTTTTAGGCCCAGAATAAAGAGACCAGTGTTTTAGCTGCTGCAAAGGTGATTGATACCAAATCTGAGGAAGAACTTGAAGATTACATGGTTGAGATTGATATATTAGCATCTTGTGATCATCCAAATATAGTCAAGCTTCTAGATGCCTTCTATTATGAGAACAATCTTTGGGTAAGTATTTTCTATTGATCTGTAGGAGTAGCCAAAACGAGTTAATTGTCCTAAAGAGGTTTATGAGTGGTAAAAGCCTGTTTTATGAATTAGCTCTTCTATTTGGTTACTTATGTTACTTGAATGATAGTTGATTTGCTGATGAGAGAGTCATTAACGGTATAATTATCCTTAGTTTCAACAGATGTTCAGATTTATGTTTCAGACTACCAGTTTCATCATGATTGTTTTGACATTGGATCCAGGTGGAGAAACTTGATTAAGAGTATTAAATTTCCTAAAATATGAGATTAGATTTCTTTGTTCGTAATTTAAATTTAAGAATTTATTAACATTTTTTTGTTTCTTTGTTTTCCTAGAAATTGCTTATAATTTTTTACCTAAACTTTTTGTAAATCATGTAATAAACTGTAAGATACTAGAAATATTAAATATTTATCTTATATATTATCAGGCTCAACTTCAGTGTGTGATGCAGTGGCTAAGGCTGTATATATAAATTTTGTTCATTTTTAGAAAATATTAGGTACAAATAAATATAGAAATAAAATGTTAATATTCTTCATAATATTCTTTATAATAACAAGTCAGTCACTTACTCTGTACCAACACAAGAGGGCTTTTTAAAATGGAGTTTCAGTTTTTTCTCCTTGAAGGAAAAAGCACAGTGTTATGAGAGAAGAATAAGTAGTGTAAGGCATACCTGACTGGAAATCAAAAGGCCTACCTTTTTTGATTCTAATGCTGCCAGTTAGGAGCTTGGATAAGTCAGTTAACCTTTATGAGCCTATTTACTCATCTATAGGAAGGATCTGCCTCCCAAATTATTTTTCAAATAATATAATTAATTTGAAAATAATTTGTAATTAGCAAGCACCTGTAAAAAATAAAGTGTTATACTGAGGGGAAAACAGAAACCTACACAATTTGTTAAAATGTTATTTCAAAAAATTACCTATAATTATTATTAGTGCTATTTTTCAAATAATATAATTAATTTGAAAATAATTTGTAATTAGCAAGCACCTGTAAAAAAATAAAGTGTTATACTGAGGGGAAAACAGAAACCTACACAATTGGTTAAAATGTTATTTCAAAAAATTACCTATAATTATTATTAGTGTGATATCTTCTAAAATAGTTGTTCATGGCTCTAGTAGAATGTTTCCAAGATTATAATAAAAATGAACTCCTAGACAATTTAATAAATATAAACGATCTTTACTTGGGACTATTGCAATATAAAAATTTGGGCAACTGCGAGGGTAAGTTTAGTGGACAACATAGATATTAATTAATTAAAGAGTCATAATAAATATAAAATCGCAACTGTGTGATAAGGGTTAAGAAAGAAGGATGCATGGTATTATATCTTACCAGGGAGGTCAAGGTAGGCATCTGTCAGCAAGTAATAATTGAGGTAGGATCTGAAGCTTTTGTAAAAAATTTTTCTATTTTTTTAAACTAAGAGAAGTCTCTATATATTTTCAGGATTTATTCTTATTAATAAAGTTTTAAAAAAGAAATATGTGATCACTTAAATCACAATAGTTACCTTAAAAATGTAATAAAATCTTTCAGTGGTGACAAAATGGATATGTATACTGTACTGAATAAAAATTCTGAATAAAAATTTGTGCCTAATAATTTTAGAGAAGCAGGAACACTAAAAGTGGTTATTGACAAAAATGCACTTCTGCAATGTGTTCTCTGTGCTTTCTTGAATGTGTATCATTTAAGACTTGTAATTCTTGGACAAAGAAATCTTCATGTTTAGTACAATAGTGTTCTCAGATTATTTGATAGGTATTCCTTTTTCTTTTTTGCTAAATTAAAGAAAAAATACTGAAACTCAATGTAGTTTTAGACATGTGCTTTTTTATTTGCATGCAGATCCTCATTGAATTTTGTGCAGGTGGAGCAGTAGATGCTGTGATGCTTGGTAAATACCTTTTTGTCCTTTATGTTTATATCTAATACTTAATAAAAATAAATGAACTTCAAACATTTATACATAAGTATATATAATTGTTGAATGAAGTTCAATAAATTGAGGAATCAACTGAATTATATTTTTATATTTTTGGATAATTGTAATAAAATTCTCAAATGAAATGTTGGGTATAATATGTCAAGAAAGTATTCTTTCTAGATATTTAGTTCTTCTACAATAAATTCACTGTATATGATCTTCAATGGCAGTGGTATACAGAGAGGTATATAGCCTGCTAATATGTTTTCACTGTATAAAAATGCAGATTTGTTTACTTTTTCCCTTATAGAACTTGAGAGACCATTAACTGAGTCCCAAATACAAGTAGTTTGCAAGCAGACTTTAGAGGCATTGAACTACTTACATGATAATAAAATCATCCACAGAGATCTAAAGGCGGGCAACATTCTTTTTACCTTAGATGGAGATATTAAATTGGGTAAGTTATTCATTTAAGCAAAACATTTGAATTTGTGCTCTGAGATTTCCCCTGTATGTATGTGACTTAATATTGTTTTATTACTACTGAAATATGTGAGACGTGGAAATTTCCTCCATGCTGCTTTTTCAAACACTTTCTTGGATAAATATTCATTAACTCCCAGAATTCCTAAGTATATTACACCTAACATAAAGACACTTTAAAAAGAAAGTAAGAAAGGATGGATTTTTATTTTCAAATAGGCAAGCTTTTTAAACATTGGTTAAAATTTTCTTCCCCTAAAATTTTATATGTAGACTTAATAGTTGTAAATATTTTACATTTAGAATACAGTATAGTATGTAAAACTGCTAGCTCAGTGTTATCTTCATTTCTAAAACTCATGTCTAGTGGATTTTTTTTTTTAATGTTTAGTTTTATAGTCTTTTATTTAAAGCTGTGGCATTTTGGCTAGACTAAGAAGGTAACCTTAGGCCTGAAAAGGATACCTGAAATAAGTATAAGGACAAGAACTTTTAATTTTGTTTTTTATACTGAAGGACTAAATGATTATCTACATAAGAATGAGATGTAGATTTTAGATAGGAAATTAATTAATTTCATATATATGTATGTTCAAATGGAAGATATAGCCCTCTTGTAGTATACCTGATATGAATTAAAAAAATCTAGTGATGAAATCTGAATTTGTGTATTTTAGAAGGATATTAAAAGGACAGAATATATTCAAAGGTTGTGTTGATACCAATGATCATAGCCATTTCATTTTACTTGTCCTGACATCTAAACAGATGATATACTGAAATTTAGCCTTTTTTTGGTGAAATCAAGATACAGAAAACCACACAAAAAATTATATAGATTAGTGACCTTTTAGCTTTGTAGACAGTAGCTTTGTAGTCACCACCTAGGTGAAGAAATAAAACTCTGTCAGGCACCCCAGATGCCTATCTCAGTCATTGCTCCTCCCTTTCTCACACTTTATTCTGACTTTGTGTTCAAGATGTTAGAGTTTAAACTTGCCCATATATAAAATTTGATTTTTCTTTTAAGCCTCTTTAGGTTCCCCCTCCATCTTTATTTTCTTTACGTTATGGCATGCATTCTCATGGGGGCAGTATAACCCCCAAGAGGGCAAAATTGATTCTTTGGAGGCAAAAAACCTGAGATATTACAATGGCTTGTGACCCTCTAAAGGCCCACATTATGTGGACAGATATACAGTATATCTATGGCATTAAAATTTCATGGGGGGGATTAGGAAAAAATGAAGAGGCTTCGGGGTGGGGTGGGGAGGTAATAATGAAAGAAAGGTTGAGCAACACTGATTCAAGTGATTTTTTTTTTCTTTAATTTTTAATTTTTTCTTGAGTTCTATCACTTTTCTGACTTTTTCTAATTCTGTGTTACTGTTTTATGTCTTTCATCATTTTTTAAAGACTTGTAGCTCATTTCAAAATCATATGTTATAGTTTTGATCTCTTTTTGGGGCTTGCTTTTCTGTAAATGTATTAAAATTTTATTTGAATGTAGGAACTTACCTTTGTGTAAAACATTGTATACCTTAAAAAAATAAGTATATTATTGAACATTTGGGAATCTCAAAATAGTTTTGCATTATTTGACATTTTAAACAGTTTTATTTTTCTGTTTTGTTAATTCACAAATACTTAGAGTACCTTTCATTTCTGCAGCACAGATGTATGGATCTATCCTATGCTTAAGAACCGTATAGTAGACGCAGATGATTAGAATACAAGGCAGAATTTCATGAGTTTTAAGAGTTCTACAACAAAGTATCACGAAGGTTAAAATTATGAATATGGTTAATAATAGTAGCTACCATTTATTGAGCATATAATCTGTGCCAGTTCTTTAGGCATGAGCATCAAATACTGGATTTTTGTTATTTATTCAATTTTGAGGACTGTAGCATCAGATGTGAAACTTTAAAAATTTGTTTATATATGGCATGAGGTAAATTATGCAACAATAACAATTTTATGTTGCTATTAATGGTTGTCCAAGCTCCAAACTGAAAAGGTGATGTGAACAACTGATAAAGCTATAATGTTGCTGTTCTCTGTAATTTAAATCAGAATATGTAAATTCCCAATTTTTTTCTTTGTAATATAGTTTTATGAGGCAATTAGCAATATATGCTGTCATAAACACTATTTGGTATAATCTCTATTTTACACACTTTTGAAAAAAATGTTTACATCTATTAATTTAATTGCAACATATAGTAGTCATTGGCATTTCTTTTGAAGTGGATAATCTATTTTAAAGTTAGTATTTTTTGTTTTCAATTCTGAAGAATTTGTCATCTGAAGATGTATAAAGGTGGTGGTATTAAGTGTATGATGCCCTAGTGGTAAGAAATAGTGTTTTACCTTCTAAGTACCATTTCTCTTCACTGTCCATATATGAGGGGTCTTCAAAAAGTTCATGGAAAGATTTGTATTATCTTTTAATTCTGTTTTTCCATGATCTTTTTGTAGTACCCTTGTATTGATAATGGAATCTTTTCTTTGGCAGTTTTTTTTGGGGATGTGGTAGAAAGAGGATGCTCAAGATTAAGATGGTAGAGAAATTACTTCTTTCTATTTAACATGCCATTTAATACGAGTGGCCTTATTAAAGACTAGAAATGCATCCCCTGCCTCCCCCCGCCCTGGTTGAATACAATGAACTATGCTTAAAAACTGTCATTAATACTTTTGTGTGATTGTTTATATCAAGCGGATTTTGGAGTATCAGCTAAAAACACGAGGACAATTCAAAGAAGAGATTCCTTTATTGGCACACCATATTGGTATGTATTCATTTTTGTCAATTTATAGTATTAATCATGTTAGCAGTTATTATTACTTAAGTTAATCACCTTAACTTTCAATTCTGTGTCTTCACAGGATGGCTCCTGAAGTAGTCATGTGTGAAACATCTAAGGACAGACCTTATGACTACAAGGCTGATGTTTGGTCTCTGGGTATCACTTTAATAGAAATGGCTGAGATAGAACCACCTCATCATGAATTAAATCCTATGCGAGTGCTGCTAAAAATAGCAAAATCTGAGCCCCCTACTTTAGCACAGCCATCAAAATGGTAATATTCTAAAGGAAGCTTTTTAAGAAACAAAACTGGATGTTTTATTCTCCCAATTTTCCAAGGGCATTTAAATTTGGATATGTGGCACAAAGATTATATGAATTAGAAAAGTGATTGTTGGTTTGTTTTCCTTAAGGACCACAAATGGTCATAAATAACTTTTCCCATATGTTTGAGAATATGAATAATTGGAGTTTTGCATGAAAAAGGTATTTTCTTTACTATTAGAAAGTGAGGCATATGTGTAGTTGATCTTATATTTGTGGAATTTATTAGAAGAACTTTTCTGATTTTGGCATACTTGTTAATATATGGCTATATCTCAATGACAAATTGTGGACCTCCTTATATATATGTCTGACATATATTTACAGATGAATAAATTTTATAAAATCTTAATATTCTCATTAGCTCATTTTCTTCTGTTGAATTAATATTATTACATACATAATGAAACTTAAGCATAATTTATCAAGAAGTTTTGTTTGCTTTGGTTAACAAGAGAGTAAAATAGAATATCATTGTTAAAATTTTATTTTGAAGGTCTTCAAATTTTAAGGACTTTCTAAAGAAATGCTTGGAAAAGAATGTGGATGCTAGGTGGACTACATCTCAGCTGCTGCAGGTAAGATAAGAAGAATATGACAACAGAAAATCATATAATTGTTTTAACATCTCTTTAAGAAGAATACAATTTCAGATTCATTCAGTGTGCTCTCTTTTCACTTTTTTCCCTGTGGAAAGTCAACATACATTTGCTTTATAAATATAAGTGCTGCAGTTACTAACAGGCATTCAGCTTATAAGTCATTCTTCCTGTGTTTTGATTCAGTTTGATTATGTTCTTTTCATTTTGTTAGTTACTTCCTTTATGTCTCTCCAGTACTAGAAAGCAAGCACCTTGAGGGCAAGGTTCATGAGCTAATTAATTTTTTTATTAAAGTAAATATTGTTGAATTTTGAACACTTTCTATTATTTTTTCACTACCCCCCTTTGAAGACCTTACTCTGTGACAGACATTAAGTTTTGAGTATACAGAGATGAATAAAATGTCATATTATTCTCAAGAACATTAGAACCATGTCAAAAATACAGGTGTTGTTAGACACTTTTAACAGAACTCTAAAGCTTTTCGTAATTTGTTTTTTATTGAGGCTGTGATAGGATTTATATAGATTGTTGTTACTTTTCAAGAAATAATAATGTACTGATTTGAAACTTTAAATTTTAATTTAAATTTTCAATTATGAAATTTTCAAGCATACAGAAAAGTACATGTACTACTATCCAGATAAAAGGGTACTTCAAAAAATTCATGGAAAGATAGAAGTAAAAGATAATATGAGTCTTTTCACGAACTTTTTGACGTACCCTCATATAATAAGTTATGTCATTTTTGATAAATTTGCTTCGGATTCTTAAGAAAGCACAGATCCAGTTGCAGGCAATTCCTACTTTTGCTCCACACTTGTCCTACATGTAACATTATCTGAGGGTTTTTTCCTGCCCGTATATTTATATTTTTAACACATAAGAATATGTGTTTTGTGTGTTTAAAACTTTCTTTACAAGCATTTCAGCTGTTATTGAGTGCTTTCTTTTTAATGATCAACAGCATCCCTTTGTTACTGTTGATTCCAACAAACCAATCCGAGAATTGATTGCAGAGGCAAAGGCTGAAGTAACAGAAGAAGTGGAAGATGGCAAAGAGGAAGATGATGAGGAGGAAACAGAAAATTCTCTGGTCAGTATTTAGAAAGGAAATTCCATTTAGTTAATTTTTAGAGTTGGGTTTTGAGGTGTGGTTGCACCTGTATCTAAGGATTAATTGACGGGTGGCAGTACAAAAACCTTTTATTTTAGAGGTGAAGATTAATAGCAGGGTTGCTCCTTGCTACCCATTTTCGTTATACTAATTATGTGAAGAACTGCAGTTCTTTAAATTATTTTTATAACTTCACCTTTTACTGAATAAAGATATTAAATCATCATATATCTGTAAACATTGTTTTGGTCACTATCTTGAGTTTATGTTTTAACACTAAAAATGTTTGGAATCTTTTTTAGCCAATACCTGCAAGTAAGCGTGCTTCCTCTGACCTTAGTATCGCCAGCTCTGAAGAAGATAAACTTTCACAGAATGCTTGTATTTTGGAATCTGTCTCAGAAAAAACAGAACATAATACTTCTGAAGATAAATTTATCAACAAAATTCCTAATGAAAAACCCACCATTGATGAACCTGAAAAGGCTGCGGAGGGTGTTAATGAACATGTTAATGATGCTTGTGTAGAAGCTGTGACTGAACTCCATAACAGAACAACAGTAATCAAGGAGAATGGGAGGGAAGAGAAGAGACCCAAGCTTGAAAATCCTTCTGACACAGAAGACCAAGAAACCATGGACATTAATTCAGTCAGTGAAGGAAAAGAGAATAATATAATAACATTAGAGTCAAATATTGAATATAGTCTGAAACCTGAGGAAGAAAGGGATCAGGAAAAGCAACAGATGTTTGAAAATAAACTTATAAAATCTGAAGAAATTAAAGATACTACTATTCAGACAATGGATTTAGTTTCTCAAGAGACTGGAGAAAAAGAGGCAGATGTTCAGGTAATTGACAGTGAAGTTGGGCTTACAAAGGAAGACACCCAAAAGAGATTGGGAAAAGATGACAAAACTCAGGAAGATGTGATCAGCGATATAAGCAATGTGGTGGGAACAAATGAGGCAGTAGATGTTGCCCAGAAGGCAGCTGAAAACAGTGCTGGTAATGGTCAGAGTAACGATGCGAAAGAAGGAGTGGAAATAGGCCAGAAGTTAAATAATCCTGCGGAGGGTCCTGAGGCTAGTGGTACTGAGGAAGTTCCTACTAAAGAAATAGTTGAAACTAATGAGGTAGATAAAAAATCTGTCGAAGGTAAAACTGACGAACCAGTAATCAACAGTTTAGAGAAGATATTGAAGACCAATGAGGAACCAGAGACAAATGAAATTGAGACAAATAGCACTGAAGAAACAGAGGTCAGAAGTGCAGTGATTGATACTGACCAAAAGGCTTTAGGAAGTGAAACTCGGGATGCTCATAAAGTCACTACTCAGATAGATATAGGAAAGAAAGAAATTCCATATGAAGTGCCAATTAAAATGGAACCTCAAGTTACTGAAGCTTCACAGCCCAGTCAACCTCAGCCTGTTCCGATACCCAGTATTAATATTAACTCTGAAGATGCAGAAAATAAAGGAGAAATAGGTGCTTTATCAAAAACTGAAACCATTCTACTACCTGAATCTGAGAATCAAAAGGAAAATGATGCTGATTCAGGCACTGGCTCCACTGCTGATAATAGCAGTGCTGACTTGAATTTATCCATCTCTAGTTTCCTAAGTAAAAGTAAAGACAGTGGATCAATATCTTTACAGGTAAGTGTACACAGGTTTTTGTTTGGGTTTTTCTTTATCATTTTGGTAACTTAGCATTTATGTGAGACTGATGTCTTGAAAATAAAACAGCATTAAATAAGTGTAATATTAACTCTATAAATTCTTATGGCCTATGAAGGCAGTCAATTAAAAAAGAACCAATGAGAGAGACTTTGGATGTAATCTTTAAGTTTTTTGGTAGGACCTACCTAGTTTTGCAAACCTGATATAGATAAACAGTATGATATAGTTGCTTGGTGTGATTGAGGTTCTTTGCACATATCCAGATGCAATTTTAGCAAGAGTCAATAATAAATGAAAGAATTGAGAAGTTGAAAGAACATTCTGTTTTTAAGCATGTTTAGGGTGTAAACTGGCCCATGCAGATGACCACTCTTGCTGCCTTAGTCATAACCATTGCTACTGCCATGAAAACCGTTGTAGGGAAAACAAACAAAACCAAAAACTAAAACCAAGAACACTTGGAGCTTTTAGAACATAATTTTCAAGTTTTAGTGTGCTTTGGAGTTACCAGGGGGAGCCTGGAGTAGATCCCAAGAATCAATATTTGTAACAAAAGATTCCATGGAATTCCAATACCTTCAGAAAATACTTCTTAGAGACTCTGGGTTGATACGTGGCAGAAGAGAAGACTGAAAAGCAGAAATAACCTAGGAAAACTGACCTTAGGGACAGGACTCCAGGGCATGACTGATCAGCTTGCCTGTCTGCCCAGAATTATTACATGTGTTGCTTGGATTTTCTTCTTCTTTCAGTCTACTTTGTTTAACTGACTGATATTCCACCAGTCCAAAATTCATTCACTGATTTAATAATCAGCCTCTTTTAAAAATGCAAATACTTGTGTGAGAATTAAGGAGATTTTTTTTTTTTTTGTCTTTTTTCGTGTCCGGCAACGGATCACAACCCTCAGTGTCGCGCCTGTACCGGACCGGGCCCGGCAACGGGATCGCACCCCTCGGTGTTGCTCCCACCCCTCGCTCAGCCAGTGAGCGGGAACCGGTCTGTATGTGGGATCCGAACCCTCGGCGGGAGCGCCTCCCCGCTCCCCAGCGGCGCACTGTAGCAGGGTGCCACCGGGCTGGCCCTAGAATTAAGGAGATTTTTTTTTTTTTTGTCTTTTTTCGTGTCCGGCAACGGATCACAACCCTCAGTGTCGCGCCTGTACCGGACCGGGCCCGGCAACGGGATCGCACCCCTCGGTGTTGCTCCCACCCCTCGCTCAGCCAGTGAGCGGGAACCGGTCTGTATGTGGGATCCGAACCCTCGGCGGGAGCGCCTCCCCGCTCCCCAGCGGCGCACTGTAGCAGGGTGCCACCGGGCTGGCCCTAGAATTAAGGAGATTTTTTTTTTTTTTGTCTTTTTTCGTGTCCGGCAACGGATCACAACCCTCAGTGTCGCGCCTGTACCGGACCGGGCCCGGCAACGGGATCGCACCCCTCGGTGTTGCTCCCACCCCTCGCTCAGCCAGTGAGCGGGAACCGGTCTGTATGTGGGATCCGAACCCTCGGCGGGAGCGCCTCCCCGCTCCCCAGCGGCGCACTGTAGCAGGGTGCCACCGGGCTGGCCCTAGAATTAAGGAGATTTTAAATTGTGGAACTTTAGTAGGACCTGAAAAAATGTGAAGTTTGGAGGTTAAGGGGAGGTAGAGCTATTTTTTGGAGCATGCCAACTGTAGATTTTACAGGAGGTCTGGATAGGGTACCTATAGTTCAGGGCTTAGGGAGAGCAGTGTGAAGATACTGGAACCCTGGAGACAACACAGTAAGAGGTTGCAGAAAGGTGATTGGAAGGTGCCAAAGACAAACTGTTTAAAATTCTGATGCATCTTGAGTTTAGTATTTTCTTGTTCCACTTTTGCTTCCTCTGCTTTCTAGTCCCTTTCCCCATATCAAAAGTTATCTGCTCCTAACACTTTGTTTATCAAAATGTATTTGTAGGAGTGTTATACTTCCGTTATTTCTATTTGCATTTAAAAGGTTTTGGATACCAACTGAGGAATGAAGAGTTTGATCTTGATAAATAATATTAGGCAATAGCTAGCAGGCAGATATGGTACTTTTGGGGTGCAGTAGAGGTGCTGCCTTTCTAGTAACTTTAAAATCACCCGTCCATCTCTGGCCTTGAGATGGAGGAGGGATGTTGATATTATTGTTACTGATTAAATAGATTTGAATTCCCAGTCCTGGCAGTGTTTAAAAATTATGTGAGTCATTAAAAAAAAAAAAAAAAAAGACTCCCAGCCACCCCAGACCTATTTATTTAGATTCTTTAAGGGATGAGCCCCAGAAATTCATTTTTAAATGTTTGACAGTAAAATATCAGAGGTATCTGAGAACCTAACAGAGTGAAAAGATAAAGAAAACATGGTTAACATGTAGAAGTTATACTAATTAGTCATTTATGTGAGTTGATCATTATCACTTGTGCCTAATTATGTTGTGGTATCATAAAAATTCTATGTGCACATCATCAAAATGCATAGTTTCTCTTTAAAAATGGATTTTATCTGTAAGGTCAATGTGAGTTAGATGAGCTTTAAGCTAATGCAACAGGTTTCACAAATGTCTTGTTGCATTATATTCATACTTTATTCATGTGTCTTCATGGTTGTTCAGTTTTTTTTTTGCTTTTTTTTAAAGAAGAAAATGTTTTCTACCTTCAGTATTCCCTATACAAAGCCTAACTAAATAAAATCTCACTCAGGAAACAAGAAGACAAAAGAAAACATTGAAGAAAACACGCAAATTTATTGTTGATGGTGTAGAAGTGAGTGTAACAACGTCAAAGATAGTTACAGACAGTGATTCCAAAACTGAAGAATTGAGGTTTCTCAGGTGAGTAAACAAACATCATAATTAAAATGGGTTTGTGACTTCTTTTCGGTCTCAGCAAAATCTGAAGAATATAGAAACAAGGATGAATTCTTGGCCAATTTTGGATTATTCTTTTACAACTTGTCCATTTAAAAATTTTTAAGCTTTTTTTTTAAGTGTTACTACAAAGATGTAATGTTTGATGTCTTCCTCTATTATTACCATTAAATTTTATCAGACGTCAGGAACTCCGGGAATTAAGATTTCTTCAAAAAGAAGAGCAGAGAGCCCAACAACAGCTCAACAGCAAACTGCAGCAACAACGAGAACAAATTTTCCGGCGCTTTGAGCAAGAAATGATGGTAAAGCCTTAGATTTTTGTAACATTTTGTTAATAATGAAATTTAGTGTTTAAAAAAAACCACCAGTGAGTTTTAGAGTTTGTTTTCCTATTGCTGGATTTCTCAGGCTTTGTGATATGTCTTTATATTTTTGGTGTTCTGGATGTCCTTTTTTTTCCCTTTGGTCCCTTTTTCTTGAAAGGATCTTCCATCCCAGTCTTCCTATCACTGATTTATGGTGTGGCAGGTGGTGTCTTTATTTTTCTCTCATTAAAATCTGCCATGAAAACTTAGAATCCGGAAGCCAGTAGACGGTTATAGAATTCTTAGATGTGCCTATTGCTGGGTAATTTTTCAGTGCTCCAATTCGACCTTTCAGACATGGAATCCAAGATTTTAAGCCAATCTAGAGCAGTTGTCTTCAAACTTGGCTGGATATTAGGACTTCTACAGGGCTTTTTCAAAATATGCTTTCTTCTTTGGTTCCTACATTTAAGCCTCCATGTCCCTTTTCACTGCTGCTTGAGAAAACAGTGCTGACTAGTCAAGGGTAGTTGTCACTAAGTAATTGTCACTTCAGTTTTTACCTTTTGTCCAAAGTTGGAAAAGGAATTAGTAATGTGATACAATATTTCAGTAACTTATGTTGAACATCTAGCTTAATACAAGTTAATAAAAAAATCATTTGAAATGTTATAGTACTTATACTTTGAACATAGTCCTCTTGATGTCTGGTAATTTTAAGTGTTAAAGGATTGTCTTGTGTGTGAAGTGTGGCATTGTTGATTACATGTCTTAGGTCGTAACTGAGAATTCCTAAGGAAATAATGAACTTTTGTTTTCACTGAGTATTTTTATAGTAGTTACATTTCTGTTTTCCAGAACCTTATAAGAACTGTTTCTTTTCCCCCAGTAGTTGCTAAAATATTTTGTTTTTAATTTTTTTAAAAAGGAAAATATCTTTTACAAATATTTGACTGTACTTACATCCAAAATTTCAGTGTTACTTGAGCATTATATAAATAGGAGTCTTTTGTTGAAAGATTAGATTTATAATTTTTTTTTTCCTTTTTGTCTTTTTTCATGACCGGCAACGGATCACAACCCTCAGTGTCGCGCCCGTA